TCCCTACATTTTACTATTTCCGGGACTTATCATTAGCTCTTTTCACTCTTGAAGTAAAATTATTTGAATTATTAATTTAATTCATCTCACTTAGGTATTTGTTAATTGTGTAAATATTCAGGAATTTATTCACTCTTAGCTTCATTAAAATAAATCAAAAGAACGCTGAACAATTACTAAAAATAACATGTAGTCACTGTGTGCTTTGGGTATTCATAAATAGCTAGCATATTATTCTCCTTTGAATGGCTTGCGGTGTACCAGAAAGGGGTTATGTGTCTTCAGAAATAACTATCAGACTAGAGAGAAAATAGTACTTCAGGAGAAAATGGGACCACTCTTAAGGTAGTTCAAAAGAAAATGAAATCAACGACTTTTGGCTTAGTATTTAATTTCCATTATCCTCTATATCTTGCAACCAGGAATCATTTCAATGTGATTATTTTAAGAGAATATAATCTGTGACAGGAACCTGCTTAAAAGAAATTTTGTTTATTAAGCATCTGAATAATTCTTGATTCCAGAAACTTTTGTCTGTTTCTAGGTATTGAAACCCAGATATCTTCCTGTCTTGTCTTTCAGAAAGCAGCTTCCTCTACTGTACGGTGGAGGAGGGGTGGGAGAGAAAACTGGACCTAGTTGTCTCTTCTTAGCCTTCATTAAAGTCATGCCTTATTTTGCATCTGCACTTAGCAGTCTTTCCAAGGCTACCATCCCAGGCTGAGAAAATCTACCCAATTAATTTCATTGCATATTTGTAACACTTTCAAAAAGGAATTATAAAGCAGAAGGGAAAATATTTAAAAACTTGATAAATGAGATTTTCCGCAAAATACCAGAGAAAAGGTACCTAAGTAATTTAGGCCCTTGACAAGGTGGTCTCTTGAGAATTCCCCAAGAAACTTTCCTAGTGGAGTATACTTCCCTGAGATTCTGCACACTTTGTGTCATCTTCATCAGGCCTCTCTGGGATAATGTCCATTCACTTCTCTCATGAATTGCATCTCATTTGCAGGACGGTTGCTGCTATCTGTACCCAGCACCTTCTCCCTGCATTTGTCCTATATCAGATATTCATTTGAAGAAGAGCTTCTAGGATTCTTAGACTGGTCAGGGCAGTTAAAGATAAGCCCATATTGTTGTCTCTGGCTTTCTTATTGTTTGGTCCAAGGTAGATGCATTTTCTATGCTTAATTTTCTTTTGGACTACTGGACTAATGTGAACTATAGACACCTTAAACTTCTAAGGGCAAACATAGGTACATCTCTTAAATATAAATGTTACTATTCAGGAACAGAAAAGTCCAAATCCATATTGAGAAATACAATATTGCTTTAATAAATAAATCTATTTACCTTCCCATGGAGTCACTGTATCAGGAAACTTTTAATGAGTTACAAACCACATCAAAATTTATTGGCTTAAAACTAAAACTATTTATTTAGGGTGTGGTTCTATGTATTGGGCATTTGGTATGGGATCATCTGGCCATTCTACTCCTAAATGCAGATTTTGAGTCTCACCCCTGTGTCTGGGGAGTAGGTCATAATGGCCTCATTCATACTTCAGTTTGTTGGCTTATTATTACCTGGGGCAACAGGACTGTCTGGGCTACACGACTCTTGTCATCCAGCACACCTGTTCACATCATGCCATTTACCTGTTCACATCATCTAGCATACATGTTTACACCCAGAGATCCTATATCTCATCATCCAGCAGACTTATTCACATGACAGTTGAAGGGTTTCTAGAGTGATACAAAAGCAAATCTCAAAGTACAAAGCACTTTCAACCTTCTTCTTGTGTCACACTTGTTAAAATACCATGGAGTAACCTGAGCCACATGACAGAACCAGATTTTAGAAGGGGGGGTGAATAAATAGGTGTCTTTTAATGATGGATCTTCAAAGTTATGTGACAAAACTGGATGTTGGGAGGGGAAGAATTTGTAGTCATATAAAATATTTGTAAGATCTATTTCTGTGCTGAGTAGAAATTTGATTTTCCTCAGAATTTACCAAAATTAGAAAGGGACCACATTATGGTTTAATGGCTACTCTTTTCTCTCACCCTGGAAGGAGCCTAAGTTGTCAGCTCTTTACTTCCCCTGCAAGTCTAACAATGGGGAAGGAATGAGTTGGAGGAAATAAAGGAGTTACCTAATTTTTCCCATTGCCTTTGATATCACTGGAGCCAAGATAGTACAACTGTTAAGACCAAATGAATAATCTAATTTTATCCTGCTTTCAAGTGTGGAAGCCACAATTTTTGACCATTTTTATCAGTAAGGGAAAGGAGTCAAAGTTACTATTTATCTATGTAAAACAATAAATTGTGTATTTTTCTTCATTTTTTAACTTGTTTAAGGATATTTAAACAAACCAAAGACTCACATCTAGAGAAAAATAGGCACATCGGTAATATTGAAAGGTCAAACAATTTGAAAGATTCCAAAACTCCTTGAGTTAAGAGGTTATCTCTTAAAACATGTATTAAAGAAATGTATTTCTAGAAAGTGAGTATTGGAGATGTGAAATATATGTAGATAAAACCCAGAACTTTGATACAGTGGACTCCAGTACAGAAAAATATTTATAAAGTAGAAGCTCAGGAAAAAGTGCACTTAGCAAACACCAGAATGTAAGGTTCTTTGTTGAAAATGAAGTATATGGTAATATTCTTGACTTTATTACCACATACTGCATGCATTCTTTGAAAAACTATATTGTACTCCATAAAGATGTATAACAAGTATAGATAAGAAATTTTTATAAAATTTTAAAAAAGGACAAATAATAATAATATCTAATATTGGTGTATCCTAAGAAGTCACGAGTACTGGCTATATATATGGAGTTATAAGAAAGGGAGAAATTCTGAAAATGTATATTGTTTACCTCATGTTTCTGCCTGGTACTTGTGTGTATATGTGATCAAATCCTGCCTTTTCTCCTAATTTGTCATTTAAATATCAGCTTTGAGAAACAATTTATGACTATAATAGAGGAGTGAAAAATGTTGCCAGATTGATTTCCAACTTAACTTGTAGGTTTCATTAATGAAATGGCATATTTTTGACTGTTTTTTTCCTTTTATATAAAGAATAATAGAAATTACTTCTTTAGACTTTCATGAGGTTTGGGGAAAAATGGAAAAGTCTGCAAAAGAATTGAGACATACTCTATTGACCAATAGTTTCATAAACTTCTCAGTAAGAGCCAAGGAAGGAGGGTCAGAATATGCTCTGCCGTAAACATATCTATACATCCCTATACTCTCGTCATTGTAACAACTACTACAGAACATGTTCTACATGCGGACACTGCTAGAAAATGTACATATTGAACTAAAGAGGCTTTTGCCCAATACTCAAGCAGTTTATAATCTATCACAGTCCACACAATCTATCCCACAGACTTATAATGAAAGAGATAACCAGCAAACTAAACAAGTGAAGATATTGGGCTGTTATAAATGAGTAATGAACTAAATGCACTCTGTGGGGTTTTGGTGAGAAAAGCCACATCCTCTGTATGTGTTTAGACCACCGAGGATGGAATCAAATGCTCTTCTTTTTGAAAGAGGAAAGGGTATAGGAGAGATGGTATTTCACGGTTCTTTCTATGAATGAAAGAGAGGACTTGATTCTCTGACAAAACTCTGGGCTCTTTCTCTTCCCATATTGTTGGTTGGTTGAGAGCAGCCTTCATCATCATCTGGAATTGTTCAGAATCTTTATTTTGGCATTGCATTGAAAATGGCCACTGAATGGGACCAGCAGTTAGCATAATGGCTATGTTGCTGGACTCCCACGTAGTCGACTGCGGTTTGAGTCCCAGACTCGGTGGCTTAAACTCACGCTGGGCACATGTGCATGTGTGCCCAAGATCCCGAGAGGACAATGGAAGAGAAGGGATTGCGGCATGGCCATCCCCCCTGGGGGGTGATTTCTCGCTTTCTATCTCTCTGTCTCTCTCTGTCTGGCGAGTGCACGCGCCCTATAGCAAAAACCTCTCCAAAAAAAGAAAAAAAAAATGGCCATGAAGTTTAAAAATACACAAATGGGGCCTGGCAGGTGGCATGGTGGGTGAGGGTGCCGGACTCCCACAAGGCTGACCACGGTTCCAGTCCCGGACCTGGTAGCTTGCTTTCTCACTTTCCCCTCTCTCCCTCTCTCTCACACACACTCTGTCCTCTCTGGTCAATTAAAATAAATAAATAAAGGTAAATAAAATAATTCTTTTAAAAAATTTTTAAAAAATACACAAATGGCTACAAACTAATTTGGGTTGCCTTTCCTTCTCTGTATCTGCTTCAATACAAGTACATGCAGGTCTCAGACTCCTTGCTTTCTACTTGTGACAGTCTAAGTCAGAGATTCTTTTTACAGAAAACTGTCCAGACCACCCTACTGCTGAGATGCTTTATGTTCTAGGATCTAGTTTCCTTGTACATCTGTAGGCAGCTCTTGCTTTTATCTTCTCAGCTAAATTAGTTCCTGCATGTTAAAAAAAGGGGAAGTGGTGAACCGCCCCCACGGAAGGCTTTATTTGGTTTTTAAAAGCGGGCTTGTTACGATCCTGTTGTGGTTATTATAGGAGACAATTTTAGCACTTTGAGCTGTGTGTTTTTCAGAGGAAGTGTTTAAAGAATTTTGCAAAATGTTGAAGGTTAACATTTCAACCCTGCAAGTTGTTAAAGGTCAGGATATGTTTTATAATTACAATTTAGAGAATTCTTGGGGGATGAGAGTGGCAGGAATTAATCCAAAAAAAACCCATGATGATCATATTTCCACAATTTCTCATTCCTACCACCTACTGTCCAATACACGCTACATTCTTTGCATTTCATTTCTTCTTCAACTAAATTCTTTGTTGGAAACACCTCAAAAGGCTTTCCCACCTGTTAGTGAGTGGTGATTTTATATGCAGACAATAGTACAGTGTTACGGTAGTGAAAGGGAGCACTGATAAGTGTCTTGATCTTTCCTAAATCATTAATTTATGTGGCTTATAGTTCTATGTGTACAAAATTCCTCTGTTCAATACAATATTACCACTTGTTTAGGACACATATGACTGACACTCTATTTATTGGTGCCATGTGTTATAATTTGAAATTCTTTACATTTTATAAAAACTCTAAGTTAATTGATGTTTGACAATGATAGAGAAGCTAGCTAATTTAATTCAAAATTTCAATCTTTGGTTGAATTCTTTAAACCATCATTTTAATTCAATCAATAACTTATTTTATTTTTCCACAAAGGAGAGAGAGACAGATACAGAGAGACAGAGACATGGAGACAGCACCCCCAACAGGGTCTTGACACCATGATCTACCACAAGCCTTAACCAACCCTGGATCATAGGCACACATGTACCTGGCGTACAGGGATATTTCCAGACATGAATCTAGAACCTGTCCATGTGGGTTGGCCTTACAGAGCTTTGAATTTTATTGCTGTGCCATTGTTTGGCTCCTACTTCCCATTTTAAACTGACTGTTTGTTTCTGACTAAGGGTTCAGTTGTTTAAATAATGTGTAGAGAAATCATATCAACTGTGAAATCATTTTACTGCTTCAGTTCTTGGATCATGACAGGTTCTCAGTTACCGTTGTAGAATGTATAATAGACAACTCATTGTTTGAAGGAAATATTAAATATCTATAAAGCCTACAAATGTCTTACCAAGAGAATAAATGAGGAAACTGGAAGGAACCTGAAAATATCAGTGACTGATAATCTTTTCTCAGAAGTTATCAAAGGGCTCATTACTACACATATTACTACATTTCATAAATATAAAATGCAGAGAAGGGTCTCTCTGATAATCCTATTTAAGGAGATGGAAAGAAAGTCTCTCTAATAGTAATTAAAATGTGCTTAATAAGCTCTTGTTGTAAGTCTGTCAGTGTATTTTCAAATACAGTAGTAACTTAATTAATCCTAACTAAATGAAGCCGATAATAATATTGCATGAATTTAACAGATGAGGTGACTAGAGCCTAAGGCAGTTAAGTAATTGTCTTGTCTTAAAGTAGTAAGTGGAAAACTCAAGATTTGAACCCAGGCACTTTCTAATCTAAACACTGTGATACACTCTATGGGTCTTAAAAGTTAACTTGTATGTCTGGCACACAGCACCTGATTTTATCAAGCTTGAATTACTAGAACTGAAGCTCCATCCCATTCTCTGTAGAACTCACTATCGATGGAATGAGCACATGTTTATTTCCTTTACTGTCTAATGGCATTCTAATTCTGTAATGGTTTGTACAATAGCTTATGTTTTCAAAATTATTTTGTTTTCTGTCACCTTTTCTGCTTACTAACTACATAGAGAACTGTGTAGACCAGAAGATTAAAAACCTGTTTATAGTTCATTTTAAAATACTACCCCCCCCACACACACTGATTTTTTTTCAAGTGTAAAAATCTGTATTGCAACTCAAATGAGTGGCGATTTTCAAGGAGAAGTGCTTTTTTTTTTTTTAATAATGATTTTAAAAAAATAGGATGGAAAGTGCTGACAAGGTCTTCATCACTCTGGAGACTGGGACTAGAGCAAGCATGTTGTAAGTATAGTACAATGTGTATGTGTGAAAACAGGTGAAATAACACTGTTAGATTGCCTCTGTCTTCCTCGTTAGTGATCCTTGGCTTCATTCTAGACACACCTCTCTTTAAGGCAGGCTTTTTCCAATTGCTTGTTCTCATCACTTAGTATCACTTTAAATCTATAGCTTCCCCAGCCAGTGGCCCATTCTGAGAGCTCAGCAG